AGAGGTGGGATTGTTGTTGCCGAGGTTGCGTTTTTAGGCGCTAAGGCACTCTTTGCGGTCCGTGCGTAGGAAGATTTTTCTACAGGAGCCAGAGGGGGGGAGGGGGTCAGGGGGGGCGTAGGGTCGCCTGTGTGTATGATTGATGGGGATTCCGAGGTCGGGGGTAGTGGGGGGGGTGTCCCTGAGGTGTATGCTTGGTGGAATGAGAGGCTGATGTTGGCTACTTGAGTACAAAAGGCTCGAAGGTAGGGCAGTAGGTCGGGGGGGGGCTTTGTCGAGTACAGTGCTTAGGTGGCAATCTACAGCTTCTGCGGTTCCTCCGAAGAAGGTTTGGCCTAAAGAACTACGTTCAAGGGCTTTGGCAGTTGCTAGGACGAAGTGTTGTTGTATAACGGTTCCTCCGAAGAAGGTTTGGCCTAAAGAACTACGTTCAAGGGCTTTGGCAGTTGCTAGGACGAAGTGTTGTTGTATAGTCGGGAGGGGGGGAATTGGGCGTGCTCCTCCCCTATCCGGACCTCTTTTCAGAGGCGACAGTAAGGCCGGAGGCCTCCTTAGAGGGGTCTCCATGGAGGGTAATCGGCTTGTTTAGTACAAGCAAGTGAGAGCAAGTGATTTAGAACAAAAAATTTGATCTCGAAAAAAGGTTGTATTTATTCTTTTAAATAAAAAAGGTTATTATAATTCTATTTTAATAGTTTAAATTTATACTCTTTACTATTATATTTTTTTTCTTAATATATCATTAATAATTTTAGAATAAGTTAATAAAATAACAAGAAATAATCATAAATATTTTTATTGTTTAATTAAATCTTTTTCTATTATAATTAAGTTAAGTTATTTAAGTTTTCTAAGTAGTATGAGTAATTAATATACTTTAGTAAAGCTGAAATATTATAATTCGCGTAAGTGAATAAAGGCTATTAAATAACTTTAATCATTTAGAATAATTAAACTATTTACCTAAAGTTATATTTTATATTTCACTTAATATATTTTATATATCCGCGTAAATTATATAGAAGTAGTTAATTAACTTATTTAATTTAGAAAATAAAAACGTATTAGCTAGACTTAAGATAATTAGAAACTTTAAACTATTTCTATACTTATTTTAGTTATTAGTTATTACTTAATTATTCGAACTAATTTAAGTAAGAAAAACTATTAAATAAAGTAAAGATTACTCCATTTAATCAGAAGATATAACATAATCTATTATTTTAAGAAGTAATATTAGAGTACTTAATTAATCTAATAGACTTAAGAAATAGAAATAGAATAATACTATAGGGATTAAAGTGTTTTCGCTAAAAAAGACCCATCTTCGCTTAAACCCCCCTTAAAAAATAACGAGAAAACTATCTCCTTAGGTATTTTCACGATAAAATATCACAGAATTTACATATAGAAAACAGTAAAGTAGCGTTCGAAATCTTATAATTTTCCCTTCTATAGCAAATTTTCAATCTAACCGAAGGACAAATCCCTATTTAATAAAAAAAACACCCCCCCAAACTCCAGACCCGAGCCAAACCAATAAAAAATCACATTGTTTGCCCCGCAGGGCCCCCCCCATTTCCACCCCCAATCCCCTTGTCACCCTCCGAACCCCGTCTTTGGCGGCTCAAGTCGCGAGCCCAGGCGCGCTTGTACTCCCCCGTGATCATCAATTGAATCTTGTATACTACCCCACGTCCATTTCTGGAGTGGGAGATGATCTTTGCGAGGTGGTCAAGGCCGCTACTGGGCTCGCGGTACCAGACCTTCTTGCCGGCGGGGAACAGGCCCTAGAGGTAAGTAATTAGCATCTGGTGAACTACTGCTAGACGAGTTGCGATAAAAAGGGGGAATCTTACATTCACGTCCTCCTCCGAGCTCTCCTCCTCCGAGTCGCCATCAGGCCGGAAACCAGCGAGAAGCTCCAGGCTAAAGCCCTTCGCATTGTCATTGTCGCGGTTTGCCTTCTTTTTGGCGACGTCGGCGCCGGGGACAGGGTTGCTCGCTGGTACTGGTGTTGCTGCTGCAACTTCAGCGAGAGTTTCAACCGGAGCCGCACCGGGGATCGGACCAAAGGCTTGTGCAGGTGGAGGAGCAGCTGGGCCGAAGCCTAGGTTCATTGCCGCTGCCACGGGGTGATGCATGTTTCGTTCATGGCCTCGGTGCCGGTGGGCAGAGCCTCTTCGGTGTGTATGATGAACGTTGCGATCATGGCCCCGGGGGCGAGGAACTTGTCCCATAGCTGGGCGGGCTTGGTTGGGCTGCTGAACTTGACCAAATGTCCAGTTGCGGTCGAGTTCTCCGGATACTGGTCTCAATTGTTGACCTTGAGATTGAGTTGTTCCAAAGGCCGGGGTCAGTTCTTGAGATTGGGGTGCGGCAGCTTGGTTGACGGCGACACTTCCATAGGTTGGGTCGGGTTCTTGCTGAGGGGCGACAGATTGGTTGATGTTGGCTCGTCCATACGCCAAACTAAGTTCTTGACCTCGAGTTAGGACGACTCGGTTGATGTTAGCTCGTCCATAGGCTAGGCTGAGTTCTTGACCACGAGTCAAGGCGACTCGGTTGGTGTTGGCTGGTCCATGGTTGAGTTGTTGACGTTGGGGTGCAGTAGCTTGGAGATTGACCTGTTGAAAGGCCGGGAAAGGTTCCATAACTTGAGATGGAGCGACTTGGAATTGGTCGACATGTCTATTGAAGCCTTGTGGTGGTGTTTGCATCATTTCGCGATCAATGCTCTCGTAAAACTCTCTCTCATTGGAAGTTGGTCGTGATCCCATCTGAGGGGCAACTGGTATGTCGTCGACAGTCTTTAGATCGGACGCGCTCTTCTTTCTGAAAGAATCAGTCAACGCCTTCCATCCCTTCTTGCCACCAGATGATCGTCTTGGTAGGTCGGACATTTTGAGTTGTTCTGCTCTCACTGATCTCTTCTCACAGGAAGTGTTGTGTTACGTTGTTGAAAGATGTGGTTGTGGATGAGGAGTCGGCGGGGTTGTATTGTCGCAGGAAAATGATAAGGCTGGACAAGTTGATATGCTGCCAAAAATATCCGAAATGCGGTGGCTGGCAGATGTATCACATTGATGGTTGGCTCGCTTACACTTTGAGGGAGCTTTGAGAGAGTGAATTCTCTCGCTGCATGGCTTCACTAACAGCCAAGGGAATTGCAACCGATAAACCAAGAGGAGGATCCCAGCACATGTCCAACCCCCCACGCGCTAATATTGAAGCTACAAAGTCAATTCATTGCGAAACAAAGAGATCAAAATATAGATTGGTTGTTCTGAGAGCTTGGTGGATTTCAATGCCAAGGAAGAATAAGCGAGGTTTGGTTTTGACCTATGGTCAATTTCACCTTTGGCTTTAGTTCAACCTACCTCATGTACCCTAGCAGGGTCGCAGAGAGCTGATTATTAAACAAGGTATGATGAGTCGCGTAATGAAGTATTGTGTATGGATAAGCCCCAATTGAGATGGCTTTCCCTGTGAAGGTCAATTATCTGATGGTTTTGCAACGACATCCCTGGGGAAACACAATATCTCTGACCAAAGTTCAACAGCATGCTGAAACGTTCTTTGTGCATTTGTCTATACTGCTTTTGCCCTTTGCTCTTCACCGCCTGGTTGAAAAGTGTCAATATACACAGACTCCAAACATGTAAATGGTACGTGCACTCACTCGCTAAATTTCTCTTTTTGTTAATAAATGAATTCCAACAAATCTGTCGTCACTTGTTGTTTTCTTCAATGTATGAAGGAGGAAGAGGGGAAATATTGATGTTGGCACATGGCCCCTCTCCACCCTCTTCTCTGACTGTCAACCCTTAAACCACCTAAGAGTCCTAGGGCTCGTCTCCAATGATGCCAAGCATACCATTTCCCATATGCGATTCCATATTGGATAGTGAGGAGATTGCCACTGTTTCTTTGGTTGATTGGAGAATGGATAAGACAATGGAGAATTCTCAAAAGTCTAGAGTGTCTCTCTCACAGAGCTCCTAGATCCTTTTGCTGACCTCTGCCTACCCAAGGGCTCAATTTGTTACGTCTTCGCTGATACTCTGTGATCCTATGGGGATAAAATGCGATTATTTCTTTGTGGATTTTCGCACATGGAATAACTGAAATGGGGACTCTGCGTATGGTTTTCGCAGTTGAGATTGAAGTGCCTTCTTCTGCTTTGGGCCCGCATCTTCTTTTCCTTTACAGCAGCTCTTGGTATGCTCGGAGTACTTGGAATTCTCGGAATGCTCCAAAATCAGTGCGCTATGGCCCAAAAGCCATTCTACCCAGGGGGACAAAGGCTGGAATAGAGCCTAGCAATTGAAGCTATTGCCAACATAGCCACTCGACCAAATTTAAGGCCAATGAGTGACGTGCACAAGCACTTTGAAGCCACAAGAATACTAGAAGGTTTCAGTCAATAATTGTCCATTGTTACCATAGTCATAAAAATAGAATGAAAAAAGGTGAGTGATTACCCAACATTTATAGTCCGTGCGTCCTTTCTCTGCGATGTCGCTCAACTGTTCAAGCCAAGATGCAAATACTTGAACCCAATATCCAACTCCAACATCAAGAAGCAATACCAAGCAAGCGGTTGAGAAATCCTGCAGCCAGGCTAACAAAAATAGGGAAAGAAAGCGGAGTAATGAGCTTCCAATTGGTGCGTTTCTCCCCTTGAATTAGGCTAAAAACAGGGGTTCCACATTTTCCCCATATTCTTCGATTTCCCCGGATCTTCCCCGGATCTTCCCCGGATCTTCTCCAAATTCAAGTCTCGGTTAACGGTGGACGAACAGGTGGACAAGGCATATCCATGACTCAGATATCAACGGCGAAGCCATGATGCGGGGAGTACCTGCAGTACCAAGGTGTACCAAGGAATATCAAATCCCCCGTACACGAAAAAGAAAGAATTTTTGTTACCAGTAGCTGGCTAATTGCAAAACGCTTCACCGATGATGTAATTGGTGAATTGCCCCTCGGTCCAAACCAACCCCTCCCAGAGATTCACCAGAAAGGAATGGTATAAAGGCTTCACTGCCCAATCCGTGGATTGATAATCACAACCCAGTGGCGTGTTGAGCAAAGATGTTCCTCTCCACCATCTTCCACTTTTTCCTCGCGTGCACCACAATGGCATCCCACGTCCAAGCACAAAACAGCACCTACAATAATCCAGTCCTCTCAGGGTGGCATTCCGACCCCTCGTGTGTTCTGGTAGGAGATACGTTCTTCTGCGTAACCTCGACTTTCATTTCTTTCCCAGGACTCCCAATCTATGCCTCGAAAGATCTGATCAATTGGAAACATGTCAGTCACGCCTGGAACCGCGACAGCCAACTTCTTGGCCTTTCTCGAAACACCACTGGTCAACAGGAGGGAATGTTTGCAGCAACTATCCGCCATCATGATGGTCTGTTTTATGTGGTATGCGAATATCTCGGTATACCAGGAGGACTTATTGGCGTGATGTTTAAGTCGGCGGATCCTTTTGATGATGCGGCATGGGCCGACCCTGTTATTTTCCATCCCAGTGGAATTGATCCCGATTTGTTCTGGGACGATGATGGAAAGGTGTATATGGCGACACAGACAATCAACATCCAAGAAATCAACCTTGAAACTGGAGAGCTCAGTCAACCGCCAAACAATGTGTGGAATGGAACAGGTGGATCTTCACCAGAGGGCCCCCACATCTATAAGAAAGACGGATATTACTATCTTCTCATTGCTGAAGGAGGAACTGAACTTGGCCATGCGGTCACCATGGCTCGAGCGACTAATATCAACGGTCCTTACATTCCATATGAGAACAACCCCGTTTTGACGAATCGTGGTACCGATGAATATTTTCAGACGATCGGACATGCCGACCTCTTTCAAGATACTCAAGGGAAATGGTGGGGAATATGTTTGACAACACGATCAGGACCGGAATGGGTGATTTATCCTATGGGCCGCGAAGCTGCTCTCTTTCCCGTTACCTGGAATGAAGGCGAATATCCTATCATGGAACCGGTTCGAGGCACCATGAGTGGATGGCCAATGCCACCACCTACCCGTGAACTCCCAGGAACCGGCCCTTACAACTCTGATCCCGATGTATATGACTTCCCAGTCGGAGAACCACTTCCTAGAAATCTTGTCCACCACCGTGTCCCAAGAGAGGGCATGTTTTCCGTGACCGAGGAGGGATTGAACATTGTACCGAGTCGCAATAATCTGACAGGCACGCCACTTTCAACGGAAACTCCAGAACTTACTGGCCAACTTGGTGTGCCGTTTATCGGACGCCGTCAGACTGATTCTCTGTTTTCCTTCACCGTCGACCTGACTTTCACTCCAAAAGAAATCGAACAGGAGGCAGGGGTCACCATCTTTTTGACGCAATTCAACCACATTGATCTTGGCTTGGTGCTTCTGAAGGGTGAGGGAGAGACAGAACCTGTACTATCGCTTCGTTTCCGTGCAGAGGGAACCGGAACTCCTCCGGTACCGGTGATTGTAACGCTACCAAGTGACTGGCCAACTTCGCCTATTCGATTGCAGATTGAAACAAAGGATAAAGATACATATGCGCTATCTGCAATGCCAGTTGATATTCCATACGCCAAAGTCACGGTTGCTACGGCGTCTGCTGGTCTGGTGAGTGGTGGAGCTGGTTCGTTTGTGGGAAGTTTGGTAGGTGTTTATGCGACGTGTAACGGAGCTGGAAAGAGTGGACGGGCAGAATGCCCCGCTGGTGGTGTGGCACACTTCAAGCGTTGGAGATACAGCGGATTAGCACAGTATATCACGGAAACCGAGTCTGTTCCTAGCTCAAATATCTCCCCAAGCTAGGCACTAGGATAGGAGACGTAAAATGTTACCTAAAAAATGTCGATATTCCATATCATCTTTGTCCATCTTGGATTTCTATTGCAAAACTGCTGTGAGGCAAAAAAGGAATATCAATTCGACAAGAAGATATCGTATCTATATCTCTGGAAGTACGCTTTTGATGGGATCCAACTCTCCATCTCTTAGTACATGTCATCCATACATTTAGTGACTAGCCTCCCGACGGACAAGAAAAGTTGCATATATTCTGTGTTTGTTAGCGTAACTTAGGTAAATTATTTTAGTACTTCAGTCGCTTAGAGTAACAAGATCAGGTAACTATAAATCCTATAGTTTGGATCAACATATAATAATACGCAGAAAATAATTACCTGACAATTTGCTTGTTCGTCGGGAGCCGGCCCCCTGGGTACTCGAGAGCGGACATTGTCCACCTGTGACAGACAATAGTCGCAATATACGAACAGTGGCCAAATCGAGTACAAAAACGTGGGGATCCTAGGAATACGAGTATTATACTTTAACGTCCTCGCTAAGTATATTATTGGCTTCCATTACCTAAATAACTAACTTTTAGAAGCGTTCTACGAGAGTTTAAGCTACGCGAGCTATCTGTCTACAGACCCAGGCACTGCGTTTCCGGAAAAGGTGTATTGTCAGATGCAGAGCGGAACTGTTGTACTAACACCCTCAGCCCTAAGACGCGCTATTTCGCCGAAACTTCCAATTAAAAGACCGTATCATAAGTGAATTAAGTTTTTATATATCCGAGCTAGGTTTCTAAAGATTGGTCCAATCAAACCTTTTCTGCAAACGACGCGCCTGGGTCTGTATATTCTAGAGCCTCTCTCCCTCCCTTTACCTCTATAAAGTACGCGTAAGTACCTAGTCGTTTTACCTGCCCCTTCCTACCTGTAAGTACTATCTTAGTTTGCCATCCTGTAAGTCTCTACTTCTAAGTTACTCCTATACCCCTATACCCCCACCTCTCTCTCTCATTTCCTCCCCTCGCTAGGTAGATAAACAAGCAAATAAAGAACTACATCTTTGGTAGGATTTGAGATTTTACGGTCATCGTTGGGAGCGGACAGCGTCTGCAGGTGGTTTTAGGAAAGGTTTGTACCCCACGGGCACTCCCGCCAGGAGCGGATATTTTCTGTTGCCATTCCCAGAGGGCGGGTATTACATCCCAACCAAACCAGTCGTCCTTGACCACACGCAATAAGGCAATACTGTTTTCCTTTCGCCAGATAAAATACACATTTAACCATCTTTATGGAGTACAAGAGCAAGTGCCCACCCCAGTTCCCCCAAGATTCCCACTAACAAAAACAACCAAAACAGCAGTAGCCGCAAAAACAGCATCCCTCTTAGCACTCGTCAAAAAGCCCACACAAGAAGCAAAAAGCACAGCCCATCCGCACACCATTCCAAGAAGTGCCTTCTCATCCTTCACAGTATACAAAGAAATAATCGCCCCCAAAAGAATTATGGCTGCTAGTAGCGTAGATAAGATTGAAATGAAACGAGATAGATTGTGTTGGGATACATATGCCTGTCCAACTCAGCTATTTCAGCCTGGTAGTATAACAGGTTTCGTGCTGATATGTTGTCAAATCTTCGATATAAGGTCGTTGTTTTATCAACATCAGACGCGATTTTGGAGGCGACAGCAGAGAACCCTTTTCTGGCAGGTGAACTTCGCTGAGGTTCTTGTACTGGGGCCTGTCCAATTTCAATATCTGGGTTGTTCATTCTAAATTTTAACTATACATCGACATTGAAAAGGCTTAGATTTCAGAATGGACAGTACTGTGTTGACCTGCATATGAGCTAGCCGAGTCTGGTCATTCAGCCGGTGTCCCATTCCTTATATGATGTGTAGGATGAAAAGTGACGCTGCAGTTGACCTTGCAGTCCGCCTTGATTGACCCACCGCCGCCCTACACAAATTGTGAATGAGCACCAAAAAGCGACAAAACAATCGGAGATAAATTAGCCATGCCTGGTGGGTTTCCACATCAGACTGCCACAGAAACAGCTCAAGTTCAGGATTTCATGTTCATTCCATGTTGTTATCATCAATGTCATAGAAATCAATGCAAACACCCCTCATTTTCAGAGCAGGCTGTCAGGCTGTGCAGCTGTGCCTGGCCTGCATTCAAACCAGCTGAATCAGGTTTGTCGTTTAGCCAGAACCAAATTAGCTTGTTGCACACGTCAAGTGAGAATTGAGGTTGTGTTAAACTTCGCTGCATGCTTTACATAAGCTTCGACAGCAGCAAAGTGCCAGCAACAACCCTAAGTGAACCTCCACAAAGCGTAAAGTGATGGGAGTATGTGAGGAATTGGACCGATTGGATGTTTGTTTGCGACTGACTTTTGACTCCATGTTCTCTTTTTTCTTGCTAAGAGGGGACGTATGTGAGCGGTAAGGTTTCGGTTTTTCCAGTAAACGCAAGTACAGAACAATACATATATATATCTCTCTCGCTTCCAAGAGAACGACTGGCAAGCGCAATTTGGAGGTGTAAAACGTTGTAGATCTGGTGACGATGTGTGTGATAAGATGGTATCATGGAGGAAAGAAAGCCGGCACAACTTGTTCTGTACCTGTGATTTGAATCATCGAGCTTGATAATTTAGCAGAATGGCTAAGGAGTACCGCTGTTCTAGAACCCATCACTGTTTGGGGAAATTCCAATATATGTTTGTACAGTACGGTACGCGATCTCGAGGCGATTCCTTCAAACCTATGAATTGATTCCCGCAGTTGAAGCGAGGAGAATCTTCCGGGCTTCTCCCGAGGTCGCTTTCAATTTACGCGTCGGCACGGGACAGTCGCGTCGAACCATTCTTACCACCACCATATCTCAACTCCGTATACTCAACCACTCTGCCAAAACCAGAGCCTCCAATTATTCTCCAAAATGGTAGGATTCTTCGATCTCAAGGCCCGCAAGGAAGCAGCCGCAAATGGCACAACCACAAAAGCTGCACCCACAAAAGAAACTACCAGATCTCAACCATGGGTTGAGAAATAGTACGCGATCAACACTCGAGAGCTGGCAAAACATACTTACAAATTTCCAGTCGTCCCAAAAACCTCAGCGATGTCACAGCACAAGATCACACAATCACCGTTCTCCAGCGAACCCTTCAATCCTCCAATGTCAGTCTCAATGCCACTGTTAGAAACGAAACCACTAATACTATCGCAGCTCCCACACATGCTCTTCTACGGACCCCCAGGTACAGGGAAAACCTCCACCGTCCTCGCCCTAGCCAAAGAGCTCTACGGCCCCGAACTAATGAAAACTCGTGTCCTCGAACTCAATGCCTCCGACGAACGCGGAATCTCCATCGTCCGTGAAAAGGTCAAGGACTTCGCACGAATGCAACTCACCCAGCCTTCCGCCGCATACCGAAATCTGTACACGTGTCCGCCATACAAAATTATCATATTAGACGAAGCAGATAGTATGACGCAGGATGCGCAGAGTGCCCTGAGAAGGACGATGGAGACGTATAGCAAAATTACGCGGTTTTGTCTTATTTGTAATTATGTTACGAGGATTATTGATCCCTTGGCTAGTAGGTGTAGCAAGTTCCGATTCAAGAGTTTGGATCAGGGGAATGCGGTTAAGAGGGTGGAAGAGATTGCTGCGAAGGAGGGGGTGAAGCTTGAGGATGGGGCGGTTAATACGTTGATTCGGTGCAGCGAGGGAGATTTGCGGAAAGCAATTACTTTTTTGCAGAGTGCGGCGAGGTTGGTGGGTGCTGTGGGTGTGGCGGAGAAAGATGAGGATGATATGGATGTTGATGATGAGAAGATTGTGACGGTGAAGAGCGTTGAGGATATTGCTGGTGTGATTCCAGATGAGACGATTGATAAATTGGTGCAAGCTATGCAACCAAAGTCAAAGAGGATTGTCTACGATAATGTCTCGAAGGTGGTCACGGATATGGTTGCCGATGGCTGGAGTGCTACTCAAGTCGTCACCCAAGTATGTCCTTTTTCTCAACTTACCAACGTTCCCATGAGCTAACGCCTTTTAGCTGTTCCAGTCTGTCCTCTACAACGAGGCAATTCCCGATGTACAGAAAAACAAAATCACCTTGGTCTTCTCTGAGGTTGATAAACGCTTGGTGGATGGTTCGGACGAGCACATTACAATCCTCGATTTGTCATTACGAATCTCAAATATCCTGGCTGGGGCATGAATGAAGTAATGAATGGAAATCAGGCGTGATTACGAAGTTGTATAGCTACGGATTGCATGGCGTTTGACGAAATGAGGACATGTAGAGTGGGTACCGAAGCAAAAGTGGCTTCAGCGAAGGCTCGCTGCCAAGTAAGATTTACCTGATTAAACTTGATATACCCAGAAAATGCAGCATTTCAACTATTCATGACATTTCATGAACTTCATCAGGGTTGACTTTCTTGACCTACAAAATCCCTTCTATACGACGAGTAATACTATTCGATATCTGTTATCAGGAGGGTGGATTACATAACTAACTCACCTACCTAGACCTCCTAAGACTTTCCACCGTATAGAAGCTAGGTATTATTACTAGCGCGTTCTATAGTATTCCTAAAGAGGAATAGAGCCTAGGTATAAAACCCTGGCTCCTACTATATATAGTTGAATTATTACCTTAGAGAGGAAAGCGGAGTATTTTAGATAGTCCTAGAACGCTCTCGAAACGCTTTTAGGACACTCTCAAGACAATCCTAGAACAATCTTATATTTAGGAAACTATTCTTAACTATCTTATTAATATAACTATTTAATATCTTATACTATCTTTATATATAAACTACCCTTGTCCTATCGCCCGGCGGGGTTTCTTTTCGAACTAGATTATATGTAAGGTCCTTAGGCGAGAGTCTAGATCATCTAAAAAAAACTTCGCTTTTCCCTCTCAGGTATGCTTTTAAAATCAACTTTTTTCACCCTGGCACTTTTGGCATTCTCCACTCCCTTCAACATTGTCTCTCCCTCCCGATCTTCAGCTCTAGCCCACCACTCTGCCTCACTGGGTCGCAAAGGGCCTGGAAACAGAATAGGGAGAAGATGTCTCCCAACATTCGGATATTCTTCCTCCAACTTCATCAGCGTGTTCATGACCTTCGACTCCGTGATGACACGCTCATACCGGAGGTGCAAGCCATACGCACTGGGATGTCGCCGCGCACCCGCAATGAAGATATTTTGCAGCATGCCTATGCCACCAATGCCCACCAGATACCAAGTATTGGATTTCATCCCCGACGTGGTAATAAGGAGGGCAGTCCATAAGATCACCAGAAGGAGATCTACGGCAATGGATATCCTATACCGCATCTTGCTTTCGCGAAAGCTGACTTCGTTGGCCATGTCATCTAGATCCAGGCCATCCCCAGTACCGAGAATGACAATGGCATGCCCATAGCCAGGTCCCTTGGTTAGTATGAAGGTTTTCTTCGTATTCCTTCGGTTAGAAGTCGAACGCTCCTGGAGAACGCCCATGAGCCAGGCGAGTAATGTCCCTACCGCAGTGATGACCAAAATCTCCCACTCACGATACAGCCCACACGGCACGGCAGCAATCCCAAGCTGTACAAACGTCGTCGCAATACTAGCAAAGACGACGTTATCCCTACTCGGCACACCCTGCTTACTCGTTTCCTCCGGACGAAAAACCGCCACCGCGAAGCCCAAAATCTTAGGTCTCTTCGCCTTCACGCCGCCCTCTACATCAGCATCCCAACGCGCGAACATTTCCTGCCGTTCCCGATCACGAGCTTCCACAGTGAGCCGCACATCCTCCGGCATCCACACGTCCTCGTAGCAATCCAAAATCCGACCCAGCAGCCACGACGTCCGGTCCCAGATCTTCCCCGTGCTGCAGTTTATGAGCAGACATTTGAACTCGGCTTCTGGCATGGATTTCAGGCCGCCGACGGTGGTGAGGAGGTAGCTGTATGCGTAGGCGACCCAGCCGAAGGAGAAGGGGACGGGTTTGAAGTATTGCCCGTTGAATTGGGCGAGGGCGGTTTTGACGACGTCGGCGCCGACGATGAGGAGGACGGAGAGGATGTCTGTGGGGGTGGTCCATTGTTCGCGGAGGGTTGTGTAGGTTGTTGGTGGGGGTGTGGAGGTCATGTCTTTATTTTTTGGGGTGG